CGTGCCCGCCCGCACAGATGTAAGGGCTCCAGATGTTCCAGTGACGTTGTCACTTGGGGGCGGGTGTGATGGCAGAGAATGGAGCATCGTGACAACACTGTGCAGCTGCCGCACGCAGATGTTCCACTGCTCTGCTCAAGGACAAGCTACCTCAGGAAGTGCAGGAGATGCAAGGAGGCAGGGAGGGCTGGGGGTGGGCAGAAGCCAGGGGGAGTTGGCATGCTTTTAGAAACAGGCTGTCAGTGGTTCTGCTTACTTAGTAATGTGCTCCCCTCCCCCGGAGCGAGAACAGGGACTGTAAGGCTAAGAGACGGCAGCACACAGCATGTCCGTGGTAAACAATTTATTTTTCTACCTCAGTTACTTACAGGGAAAAAATATATATATATAAAACGTCATTAGGGAGAAGCACAGATGAACCATTTACAGAGATGAAGAAATTCACAATGGCGACAAGGCTGTGAATCAAGCATTACTAGGACAAGTTCACCAAAGCAAAGCAATTCATAGCAAAACAAAATATGGGTGGGGGCAGCCATACAGATATTTTAAAAGGAAATCATACTGCTGAAAAAACCTACAAGAAAATAAAAAGGAAACTAACGGATGATTACATCAAGCATTTTTAATGAGATGAGCAACACCATATATAATATTGTGTCTCAAGGGTAATGACATTCAAACGTATGGATTAGCTCACAGCAAATGCACCAAATGGGAGCAGGCAGGTCACTTCTCACAAACTATGAGCACTGAGAAACCAGTGAGTCTTGAGGAGCCAATGGCCTGAACCTTATTAGTCAAATGGAGCCAGGGGGTGGGGTTCTGAGGGAGTGGGGGTTCAAGATCATGGGGGATTTCAGGGGTGCCAGCCTTGAGCTGGGGCAGGCCCAGGACGGTGCCTCTGTGCCCCATTCCCATCGTACTCCAAGGTGGTCAGATGGGTGAGGGCAGGGAGGTGAGACTGAGAAGCTGGGGACGATGGAGGGGCTAGTGTGGACAATGCCCCCAAATGGATGAGGTTATCATGATGGCAAAAGCACTGAGCAAGTGGCCTCAAGCGACAAAGGCAATCGGTTAGTATTTATAGAGTTGCTCTTCCCGATTAGATTTTGCAAACCAGCCTGCTGGAGGTGTTGATGTGCTCATTTGGGGGACTGTCCACCATAAGACAGCTGTCTCAAGCAATGTTCCAGCAACTCCTCTGGACCACCAGCACTTGAAAGCACATCCCATAAAATGCCCCAACAAGCTCATAGTTTATAATTTGGTACCTTCTTCCTAGAGTGTACCGAGGGAGGCTCTACCAAGTTTGTGAGAAGTTTCCCTCTGGCCCTGTTACAATCCAGGGAGGGGAGGGGTGTTCACAATAAGGGGAAGAAGCAAAATGGAAAGGGACTTGAGAAAAAAAAAAAATATATATATATAGGATGAACCAATGAGGATATGAAGTCTTTTCCAAGAATTGAAAACAAGAACACTCATTCAAAAAGGTCACTAGGGTCATGTTCCAGGGACCCTGAGCTGCCGGCCTGACCCAGGCCTGGACTGGGTTCTCTCTCTAGTAATGGTGGCAAACCCCAATTTTTTATGCCTCTCTTAAGAGCTAGTTGATAAAAATTATGTCTTGGGAAATCGGCAAATAGTCTGCAAAGTGAAATAAGAACAGAAATTAACAGAGCGTGGGATAAAGAGAGGAGACGGGGCACTCTTGGTCACGGCTTTAATCATTCAGGGCCTCACATGGATCTGCAGGCACCAGGCTGGGCTGGGGGCCCACACTGGGCTCGGGAGATAGATTTCCAAAGTGGTTTGGTTACCCCCCAGCCTTTCTAGGAAAGAGCTACCCCCTACATTCATAATTACTCAAAGCTGTCTATCCCTTGCTTTCAGAACAACTTATTTATTCTCACAGAATCCTGAAGGTGGGCAGAGGCAGGTACTGACTAACATCAGAAAGGTCAGCTACAAGTCCTGCGTCACACGGGGATCCACTGAGAGCAATGTCTGGACTCCCAGACAGACGAGATGAGATTCCCTCTCCTACAGGGGGTCCGGGACATATGGTTTGTGAGTGGCCACCAGTAGGACATTTTAGCAGCTCTCTAGGAATGTAGGGGTCACTCAGGGATGCCTCGTACTGCCCTTCTGGGATGGAAGAGTCTGGGAAGGGACCAGAGGTGGGGAAGTGGGCAAAGTGGGTATAGTGATGACATGGAAAGGAAAGACCACAGAGAAAAAGCGTCAGGGCTGCTTGGTGGGGACAGGACAGCTGGGTCAGTCACAAACTTGTACACCCCAGGGTGTGTGGAGAGGGGGGCAGCGGAGTAGGAGGAGGGGTCAACAGAAGCTGCCTGATGGAATGAGGAAAGGATTTAGAATGCCCCACCTCTGAGTCTCCCAGAGCCAGTAGGTACACTCCTTACTGATAGGAGACAATGTCAGAAGATTCCAAAGCTTCCCTGACGTGATGACCCATCCTAATAGCCAAGACCCCAGGATGGGTCAGGTTTGGAGCATTTATTTCATGAGCTCTTGACTGTAAAACCACATGGACATAAACTTTGTGGTCTGGAAGCATTAGGCTGCTCGGGGAACCATCTGAAAGTCTGGAACACCACACCACACCACAAGAGCCCTCTTTAGGGGGTGAGGTTAGGAATGGGTTGGACTGTGAAACCAACCTGGCTCTTCATTAAGAGAACTGGGTGGCTAAATTCCAGCCGAGGCCCCTCCACACCCTCCCTGTGAACAGGCGGTCTCACTGTGGGACCACCAGTGGGTCCTTTCTGGCCATCAGTGGAGACTAGAGGAGGTTTCCAGGGTGTGAATAAGAAGCCTGGGGAAATGGAAAGTTTGATGGCTAAGAGAAAACAAAACAGCTAACTTCCATGGGTCAGGGAACCACTGTCTGTACACTTCATGGCTGATTTCCAACCCATTCAAACCCAGTGGATGGCATCAGACTGCAGGAAAACAACAGCTGGGCCTGGGCATGGGGTCACCGAGCTCACTCCATTCCCAGAGCCTCAGCTTGTGGTGAAGAGTTGGAGTCCATGGGAACCCCCTCTCATTCTGTCTAGCTTTGGCTTTGTCACTACTGAATTAGTGTGAGTCTAGGCCAGACCCAGGGCTGGAGGCCTAGAGACACAGTTCTATCAGCAGTTTCCTGAGCCTGCTCAGAGGGCCCTGAGGACTGGCTCTCAGATAAGATAGGGGCCTTAGCACGAGGTCCACTTTATCACCTCAAATGTTCCACCTCCGACCCTCCGACTCTATCCTCCTGGATTAGTGCTGTGTGAAGAAACGTTGGTCACCTGGCACTCAGTGAGCTGAGCGACATGAGTCCCTACATCTTTTGTCCCCTGGGGTGGAACAGAATAAGCATCTCCCCCAAACTGCCAGCCACCAGCTTCTAGGCTGAGCCGGAAATACAAGGAGTGGAGAACAGAGTCTGTGTGAAGGACAGTATTCACGCAGAGGCCCTGATACCTATAACAATACAGCTCTCCCTCTCGTCTCCAGAATAGCACCCTCTAGTGGCATTTTCCCTAAAGACAGAAACGTTCTTTCTACACTGTCCAGTGTGGGAGCCACTGAGTAACTGAATGAGGCTTATGGGGCTGAGGAACGGAATTTCTTTCATTAATTTAACTCTAACTGAAGCTGTCCTGGGGAGCACACACACTAGAGAGATGGCAACCAGACTGCCCGGAGTCCAAATTCAAACCTCAATATTTCTGTGCCTCAAGGTTCCCATCTGTAAATGGGGGTAATCAAATGGAGACAACAGACCATCTGGATGGTGCCTGCCCAAGTGCTGCCTCCTATTGCTATGCTGGTGGTTGGCATGTGCCCTTCTTTGTCTCAGTCACCTGAGGGAGGCCACCCAGATGGGGAGGACTGCCTTGGTGCCAGGACATGCTTGTGGGAGAGACCACCCCCTTCCACCTTCTGCTATAGTACTTGCCTCCTCATCCAAGCAATTAGGAGGGTGCACAGACCCAAGACCCAAGACCACCCTCACTCACAGAAGAGAGGACTGAGGCCCAGACCAGCTGTTGACCTGCCATGGTCACTTGACCAGTTAATGTTGGAGCCAGCACAAGGGCCCAGGGCTCCCATCACTGGCTGAGCAATCTGTCTCCCATAGGACATGGCTCTAAGGGTCCCAAATGCCCCCTGACTTCCTCTCCCTTCAGACACCTTTCCCTGCCCCAAAGCTTGATCTGAGTTAACTGTGGGCTATAGCCCCTCATGTAGCCCTCACCTGTCCTCTGGCACCATCCTTCCAGGGCCACATCTTTGTTTCCTAGTTCACCTCAGACCCTGAGGACCAGTCACTGGTGAAGGTCCAAACTCAGCACAGAGCCCACAGAGAACATAAGCCTGTTCCTGATGCCTTCTCCAGGAACCTCACCTGTCCTTATTCTCATCTGTACCGTAAGTCTGGAAAGGGCTGCTTGACCCCACAAAATGACACTTTGGTCAATGTCCCTCTGCCCAACTGGACCTCAGGCTCCCCGGCTGCTCCTCCAGGTGGGTCCTCAGAGCGGGAACACACGGGAGTGAGCTGACATCGCCCAGGGAGGAGCTAACACCTTGGATGGACAGCACACAACACCCCAACAACACAACGACAATAGCAGAAGGCAGGAGAGGGTGAGGAGGAGAGGCAGACAGCAGGCACACTGACAGAGGTGAGCGAGGGGGAGGCAGAAGGTGGACGAAAACCCTGGCTCTGGACTTCTAAGAAGGAACCGCAACAGGAAGTTGGGTGTGACAAGAGGGAGGTGGGGTCCTCTTGGTGCTTTTCCTTTCTTTTAAAAGCTTCTGCTCTCAAAATCCCAGCACAATGAGTACTCTGCTAATCAGAAACTCTGAGCTGCCCCCTGACCCTGGAGTTAAGTGGTATTGACAGTGCGTGTAAATGTTTCTGAAATGAATGTGCTTATGAGTTACAGTCTGTTCGGGGTTTCCCCCATGACAAAGACACTCACCTGGGAACTGATAGCCGTAGCTGGGAGCAAATCCGGGGTAGCCACGGCCATAGGTTGCCACAAAGTTGGGGTAGCCTTGAACAGAGGGAGAAAGATCAGATTCCCATTAGCACAGTTGTCTTGAGTCTGGGTAACATATCCCAGGGAGGGTGGAAATGGAGAACTGAGCTATGTTTCCTGTCACAAAATTGACTTGTCTCCCATGAGGGTCTTTACCCACAGTCTGGGTTACCTTCTTCTGGGGGCCAGGGGCACTGCTGTCAGCTTGCTAGTAATTAACCCGTATTTGGGCAGCCAGACCCCAAAGATCATGCACCTTCTAGAACCCGCAGAGTAAATGCCACACGTTACAGTCAAACACAGGGTTGGCGCCTGGCTTTGACATTTGGAGAGCTTAGTCGGGATGTACTTTACCTTAAAGCTATTGACAGTAAGAGATTAAAGTCCTGGGAACACCTCTTCCCCAAGCAGAGCAGTGGCTACTCAGGGGTCGCCAGAGAAAATCTGTGGCTGGCCCTGTACCCCTGGAAGATGCCTGGCCTAATGAGCCATGGCCTGGGGAAGATGGGTCCCAGGAACCCACATCCACAGGGATGATGCTTCATAGGGCTTACGTATGCAAAGGCCTCTGAGAAAGGCAAGGGACTCATTGTGTCAAAATGTGCTCAATGTATAAATCAAAGTTTTGTGCCACATGTCCCAATGTGCATTTTCCCCAGGAGCCCCTGAGGTGGTGTCAACGATTATATCACTGGTGCAAAACCAGTCCTGTGCCCTGGCTCTGCACCACCCCATGATCTGCTGAAGCTGAGACAGTGATCCATAGGGCTGCCTTTCAATGGCTGAGTTTTTAGAAACAGGTCTTTCTTCCTACTCCACCTTAGTCTGAAACTCCACTGAAACCTGGTCAGTATCCTAGCAGCACACAAGCCTCCACTGACAGATGCGCGGTGGTTATTCACAAGGAGCATCAGCTGGGAATGGTACCCAGCTCTCCAACCGTCATGGGTCCCTAATGTAAACTACAGATTTTAGTTGTTGATAATGTATCAATATTGGTTCATCAACTGTAATACATGTACTTGACAAATGCAAGCTACCCCAGGAGGACCTATGCATGGAACTCTACTTTTTGCATCATTTTCCTGTAAAACTAAAGCTCTAAAAAAAAAATGTCTTAAAAAATATTTCACCAAGGCAACCCTTCAATCACCACTACTAGTCTGACTTTTCCTTTTGCCCCGCAGGTGGACGTTTGTGGTTGTTTTGCTACCCAGCATCTAAACACCTTGCCCTGTGTGAGTCTTGGAGATAAGCCCCACTCTTTCCTCTCCTCTCCCTGAGCCTGGAGCTGGGAAGCAGGCTGGGGAACCTGAATTTGGTCAACTGGACACCTTCCTGGGGTCTGCATGTAGAGCGCTGGGATGGGGAGGGATGGTTCGGAATTCATTAGACGTCAGCAGCTGAGTCCAGCACTGGTGACAGTGCTTGGATCTGGCAGTTTGTGGGCTGTCCCCTTGGCTGTGGTTGTAAGCAACCTGCTCCCCTAGTTCCTGTCTCTTCTCTAAGTCTGCTTTTCCAGACATCTGTCAATTCTGTGTATTACCCGAGGCCGCTGCAATCATCTCCCACGCTGCTTCTACAGAAGTTATAGGTGTTCTAGTTACTTGCTACCAGGGAGGCCAGCAAGAGGCTTCGCCACTCAGCTGATTTACGACAGTCTCCACGCCCCCCAGTGGTGAGGGTGGCAGTGACCCCTTTCCACATGTACCTCTGGAGTTAGTTCTATGTTGTTAGCTGCCATTCAGTCAGCTCTGACTGACAGCGACTCCATGTACAAGGAGAGGTTCAAGTTCATTGATGAGGACACTATGGATTTTGAAGGTCTTCCAAGCTAGGGGGCTCATCTCCCAGCACTATCCGGGTTGTCATGGCTAACTTTCTGAAGACCTTTCATCCTAGTCTGTCTGTCTTAGTCTTGAAGCTTTGCTGTCACCTGTCCACCACGGGTGACCCTGCTGGTATTTGAAATACTGGAGACATAGCTTCCAGCACCACAGCACCGTGCAAGCCACCACAGTATGAAAAGCTGAGACATACGGTGGGACGCTATCCTATGCCTTAAAAACACCCCTAAACACGAGCTCTTGGGGTTCTCATCATCTGCCTACCCAGAGGATCCTCACATGTTACCAAAGCCATGTTGAGCCTGCAAGTAAGGGTCCCTAAATGTGACCTTGAGTGTGCTCTGGTGGCTTGCGGCAGAGTTTGCTTGTCTTCCTGTGTGGGTTCAGTGCTCCCGTGTCTTGGAGGTCCAGAGATGGCCCCCCTTTCCTTGCCTCCCTGGGGTAGGTGGTATGGTGGCTTCTACCTGTGAACAGTGAGTCTGCCATTCAGCCCAGACCAGAAGGTGGTTCCAGGCCTGCCTCTGGCCCAAGCCTGTGAGGCTTTCTCTTTTCTCTCAGGGCATGAGTCTTGCCTAAAGATGCCTTGCAGCTTTGAACAAGTTCTTAATCAAGACCAGCTGTGGCTCTTTCCTCTTGTTTCAGGTGGAGGTGGAGGTGGGGGAAATAAAAGGTGCCTGGAATCGACTCCAACTTATGCTGACCCCATGTGTATCAGAGGAGAACTGTGCTCCACAGGGTTTTCAATGGCTGATGTTTTAGAAGTTGATCACCACGGGTGAACTTGAACCTCCAACCTTCTGGTTAGCAGTTGAGCCCATTAACTATTTGCACCACCCAGAGATTCCACCCCCCCATGTGATGTCACCATACACTGGCCAATCAAAATGCTTCGATCTCCAAAGGGTTTTGCCCCTGCTGCCCTCAGCTGCTCCTCTGTACCTTTATTTTTCAACTCAGAGGTGCCTCAAGAGTAGAAGAATGGCAGGAACTGAGTTCCCAGGAGGGAAGAGGGGCAAAGACCAGGACTCAGATGTCTTAAAAAGATACACCCACTAACTCCTTCCCGGGGATTTATTTCATGACTGGCCAGCTCAAATCTCCTCCAAATTAAACAGCAGCTGTCAAATCAGGTCTTTTAGCATTAGATTTTTTTCTACCATTATTTCAACAATACTGATAAGCAGATCCTATGCAAACAGCCATATCGTCTGCCGCTCCCTATGGGGACTTCCTGATGAAAAATGTATGCTTTGTATCTCACATCAGCACTGAGGGGGTCTTAAATATTTTAGTGTCAATCTGACAGCTGAAGTGTGTGCCCTGGCACCACCTTCAAAACCTCCTTCACAATGGCTACGGGGTGGAACCGAGTCCTCTCCCTATGCTTAGGCCACCAGCATGACGCCATTTGTCCTACCTTCTTTCAGGCATATCCAAAATTATAGACACTCTTTGACAAGGAGAAAGAAAACATGGCCAAGTCACCCCAACTTTGGGCCTCACCCCAATCTTCCTGAATGTGTCAATATAGTCTCTACACAACAAAGACAAGAATTAGACTTCTGTAGTTGAGGGATCTTATCCCTAACCTCCCCACCGGCCCCCCATCACTGAACATACTCTAGGTCAGGCAGATGAAATCATAAATTTATAATACAACATTACTTCAATTTTCCTCTTCATTTACTGCTGTGAAGCCCAGCTCTGCTCTAGCGGCTCCCAGCCCCAGCCACACAGGGGAAATTGCCCGGCTGCATATCAACAGCAGATTACAGCAGACCCATGTGGACGCTCCATCAAGCCACATTATGGCGGGATGACCTGGCCACCACTTCCAGTAACAGCCAGGCCCCTCCCACACTGGCCATTGCACAATTTATTTGCTCCAGTACTCTGGATGCCTGATCAATTCCACAGTAGTTAATCTCTTGTCACTAAGGTTAAAAAACCAAGCCTTTTCCCTGGATAACCACGCTCATTACAGATCAGTTTTTCATCGTGGAACCCAAAACCAGAACCCGCAATAATATCTGATTTGCTAGTCAGCTCATTTTGGAGTCTCATTTTGGGGATGCTGGCAGGGACTTTGGAACTGTGGTTCTCGATCTTCGCTTCGACCCTAGAAGAAGTTCACATTGTAGATGGGTGCACGGCTCATCCTTTTCCAGGCTCTGTTCTCAGCTACCCAGAGTCATGGAAAACTGCCCCCAGCAGGCTCCTTTCTTGAAAGAGAAAGGATGTATCCAGGGAACTGTTGGTGTATGAAGTGTCTATTGCATGGAGACTGAAGCTGGAAGACCAGATCAGCACCACAGAGACACAAAACACCAACTTGTCAAGAACTCTTCCTAAGCAAGGGTGTGAAGAACCAAATCTACAAGATGCGTGGCCCCCAGAGTCATCTTGAATTACTGGGGGCTCCTCTAAGCATGTGCTGCCCCATTCAGGAGCCCCTATCCACATGTGGTGGTTAGTTTAGGCGCTTTAATTTCTACTATGAACAGACAGATTCATATTTACCACACTGCTTTAATTACTGTAGCACTGTATTTGGCTACATTAGTTTCTTCTAATAGTTGGTTAAACTAGTCTCTTTTTCATTCTTCTTTTAAAAACATTTTCTTATTTATTTTCATGTGTTTCATCTTCCAAGTAAGTTTTAGAATCATTTGGCCAATTGAACTACAGTGGGATTTTAATTTGAAACTCTGTTAAATCTAAAATAATAATAATAATTTGAGAAAAAACTAACATCTTGACCATTTCATAAATATTCTCCTGGCATCTCAGTTCATTTCTTAAAAGTTCTTCCAAATAACTTTACCTGCCCTTAATTTCCTCAGACAAGTAGATAACATTCTTTTTAAGACCAAGAAAAGTGTTATAAATTTAAAACTAAGCCAGAAATGATTTAAACAGAAAATCTATAAAGAGCTTATCAAACAATATAGAAGGACTCTTAGCCAAACCAAATGAAAACCCATTAAAACTAGACAGATCATGTGCTTGGATGGAATTTTACCATTAACTACCATTTATCCCATTTAATTAGTATTTTCCGGACACACAATAACTTGCACTAAAATACCGCTCTCACGCCTTGAAATTTCTAATTATTGTTGCGACCCACACCATTACGCATCTCCACTGCTTTCTCCATCTTTCATGCCATTTAAGCAGTAAGATTTTCAATTATCTACGCAGGAAGGGCAGAGATACCTTTAAGGAAAGGGGCATAATATACAACTCAATTTCTCTCAAAGCCAGGAGAGATCATTTTTAGTCAGAACAAACACACTTTGTCTTTCATCATTTTTTTCCCCCACAAATAAAGAGTAAAACAGGCTATTTAAAACATCCATTTAAATGCAAATTTTCATATCCCAAGAGAAAAATGTTAATCATTTAAATAGACAGGATTATCACCACCCTCACCATTCCCTCTCCTCTTCAAGTTTTAGAAAACATAGCCTGAGTCCCCCCATCACCTAAGCCACAGGGCATCCTTGGGTCTTTAAGAACTCCCACTCAGTAGGCAGGAAGGTGGGGGCGGGGGGGAGTGATTTTGCCTTCTTTTGAATTGCCCAGCTGCTGCTGATAGACCCCTGAATTATGTAGCATGTGTATCAGAGGAGAACTGTGTTCCATAGGATTTTTAGTGACTGATTTTTAGAAAATAGATCACCAACCGTTTCTTCTGAGGTACCTCTTGTTGTTGTTGTTAAGTGCCGTCGAGTCGGTTCCGACCCATAGCGACCCTGTACAGGGTTTCCGAGGGTGTAAATCTTTACGGGAGTAGAAAGCCTCATCTTTCTCCCGCGGAGCAGCTGGTAGTTTCGAACCGCTGACCTTAAGGTTCGCAGCCCAATTCGTAACCACTACGCTACCAGAGCTCCTTGGTGGCCTTAAATTACCAGCCTTTCCGTTAGCAGTCAACTGCATTAACTGTTTGCACTACCCAAGGGGTCTTCTTTTGAATAAACAACAACAACAACTGAGTTCCTGTAAAATCAATTCCAATTCACGGTACCCCTACCTGTATAGGGTAGAATTGTGCTCCCTAGTGTTTTGAAGGCTGTGACCTTTCAGAAGCAGCTCACCAGGAGTTTCTGCCAAGATGTCTCTGGGTGAGTTTGAACTGTCAATCTTTCAATTAATTAGCAGTTCAGTGCCCTAGCCATATGCACCACCCAGGGATTTGTCTTTTGAATGGGAGTGTGGAAGGAGAGAAATTACCATCAAGAGCCTCCTAGGAACTAGGCACAGGGTAGGACGCTTCCTCAGCATCACACCTGTCTTTCAGAGTGGGGATTATCATCCTGATGAGAAAACTGAGATTCAGAAAGACAGCATAGCTCACAGGACTCTCAGGTGACCTAGCTGGGTATATCGGCTTCCACAGCCCTCCAACAGCCCACCCCAGTCCACGGTGACCCTTCTGGGTCCCCAGTTCCTGCTCAGACTCACCTAGCATCCCCATGCCGAGCATGAACGCATCCATGGTGTAAGGCAGTCCCCGGGCCCGGCCTCTTGTCCCAGGTGGGAACATGACTTCTTTCGGCTGAGCTTTCTTACATTCTACCTGTGAAACAGAAAGGCGACAAATGAGATGCAAATGAATTCTACGAAAATGTCAAATGCCGAACCAATCTGGTTACAAGCAAAGTTATTTTTAGCCTGGCTCCTTACTCACTGTAAAAATAGCCATGTTGAGTAAATGGCCCGCAAAATAAATATTTAAGAAAACACACCACTTGTGTAAATCCTGCTCTGGAAAAACCTACAAGGATGAAATTGGGTTACCGTCAGGGCTGCAAGGGCGGGAGCTCAAGATACATAAACTTGGGTTAGAGCTCAGACAGAAGCTTGCGGAGAAGGCAGGAGAGTAAAGGAGGCAGACCATGGCTGTTTGGCGTTTCGGGGAGTAGCAGCAATAGCAGGATGATGACAATAAACCCTCATGGTTGTTTGGTCTTTGAAGCCGCTGTTAAGCGCTGTTGAGCTGGCTCCTGAATTAGGATGACACCAGGCACAAAGGAAGGAAATGCTGCCCAGTCATGCACCACACCATGATGAACTGTGGATCAGACCGCAGCGAACCACAGGATTCTTATTGGCTGATTCTGGGAAATAGACCCATCAGGCTTTTCTTCCTAATCTGTTAGTCTGGAAGCCCAGCCTGCAACACACAAGGCTCCACTGACAGACAGGTGGTGGCTGTGATGAGGGGCACTGGTTGGGGGTTGAACCCAGGTCTCTGCCACTGAAGATGAGAATTCTACCACTGAGCCATCAAGGCCTTGTTTGGCCTTCACATGTCCACAAAGGACTTTAAGGTTCCTTTAGGTCATTGGATTGCTCACGTCAGGTCATCTGACTCTCCTATGAAATAGGCTGGTCGGTTAATATTTATGCTGTTTTTAAGTGCCATCGAATTGGTTCTGACTCATAGAGACCCTGTCTAGGGCTTCTGAGGAGTGGCTGGTGAGCTTGAACCACCAACCTTGCGGTCAACAGTCCAGTGCTGATCCCAAAGCATCACACAGCTAATGTCTATAGTTCCATTTTACAGATGAGAAAACTGCATGTCAGGAGGCTTTGTAATGTGTTTAAGGTCAAAGCACATCAGGCCCAGGGCAGATGCCAGCTGTTTAAATTCCTAGCCAGTGATGCTGCCACCTCTACAGAACCTATTCCGCCGCCTCCTTAGTGAAGCTTTGACCCTCCAGGATGACTGGCTTCTCGTTTACAGCTACATCCTCAAGTGGCTGCTAATTTCCCGTACGCCTTGTGTCTCCAAAAGGTCTTAATCCTATTCCACTCACACACCCGAAGGTCACTCATTTAACACCGTGAACTATATGAAATGCAAAACAAAAACGAAACAAGCCCATTGCCGTAAGTGGATTCTGACTTACGACAATTCCGTGCGTTACACAGCGTAAGTACACTGCTCTATAGTTTTCTCGCCTATAATCTTGAGGAAACTCAATGACCAGACCTTTTTTCTGCAGTACCACTGGATGGCTTCAGACCATCATTCTGGTCTGATCCCCTGCTGAGATATTGCATTTCCACCCTAGAGATACAGCTACCCTATATAGGGTTTTTGAGGTTGTAAATGTTTATGGGAGCAGAAATCTCCATTTTTCTCCCACAGAGTGGCTGGTGGATTTGAACCACCAACCCTGAGGTTGTTGTTGTTGTTAAGTGCCGTCGAGTCGGTTCCGACCCATAGCGAGGTTAGCAGCTATTTTATTAGTGAGTGCCTTAGACAGATCCTCATTCAGGACTCATGAGGTTTCTTTTGCAGATAAATATAACAAGCGTTATTATGTTGTTAAGTCCCATGGAGTTGGTTCCAACTCACAGCAACCCTGTATAGGGTTTCCAAGGAGTGGCTGGTGAGCTTGAACCACTGACCTTGCGGGTCAAAATGACCTTGCAGTCCAATGCATTAACCTACAGCACCACACCGGCTCTTCAGCAATCATTAGGTGCACTGCTGATAAAGACAGGATGCTGTAGGGTGTGGTAGGGATGCTTACAGCAGCAAAAAGTAAGTGTGGCAGACTGAGTGAGGAAGAAGACTCAGGTGTCTATCTTAAAACACAGAGTGGGCCATATGGTGCAGGAACACAAACTCCACTTAGCTCACCAGCTGCTGAGAGTATCACTAAAACACAGAAGATTACCTTTGTTCACAGTGAGTTTGAGCTATCAAGACAAAGTTAGATTGTGTTCTGTACACATTGTTGAAAAAGGAACAGATCTGGGTTAAACATTTTGGAGATCTCTTGTTCCAAATCGTTCAATTAAAAAAATTGGTTAATGCTTAGAGTTGGGGAATGCTTTAATTACCTAAAATATTAACTCCTACTTCTTCAAAGACACCAAGTGATTTAGAATGATTATCATAAATGCCCCAATATTCATGCCTGATTGGCTGAATACAAAGAATGTTTACAGACTGTAAGCAAAGAGATAGTTATCCTGGCCAGAGCAATGGATAAAGGACACTAACAGGCAACCTGCAAATAGTGAGTAAAGAGATCACATGGGCAGTGATGGACTGTTTGATGTTAGGGTTTCTGAGGGTATGGAGAACTGGGGTGGAGAATGGAGGGCAATCCAATGATATACCAAAATAGATCCTTTGACCTAGTAATCCTGCTTCTAGGAATTTAGCCTGCAATGGCATATAGATGAAGCTACACAACTTGACTAAGGAGCTCTGGTAGTACAGCAGTTACGAGTCAGCCTAGTAACCTCAAGGTCAACAGTCTAACACAACCAGCTGTTCCATGGGAGAAAGATGAGGCTTTCGGCACCCGTAAAGATTTTCAGCCTTGGAAAACCTGTGCAGGGCCACTATGAGACTCCACGGTACACCACCACGACTCATCTTGACTACTAAAAGGAGATACCCTAAATGCCCAAGAATTGTTGTTACTAAGTGCTGTTGAGTAGGTTTGGACTTACAGTGACCCTGTATAGGGTTTCCAAGGAGTACCTGGTGAGCTTGAACCGCTGACCTTGCAGTTCAAACTGACCTTGCAGTCCAGCGCATTAACCCACAGCACCACACCAGAATTGGGTGCAGGTTAAACCAGAAGTCTTGGTAGTGTCAATGGTTAAGGTGTTCTGTTGCTAATCAAAAGGCTGGAGGTTTGAGTTCCCCCAGAAGTGCCTTGAAAGAAAGGCCTGGTGATGTACTTCTGAAAAGTTGGCTATTGGAAGTCCAGTGGGACACAGTTCTAACTGGACACATGTGGGCTGTCTCTATGAACTGAAGTCAACTTAATGGCAACTGGTTGGTCTTGGGAAAGCCCTCAGTCCTGAGCCAAACAGGGCAGTTGGTCACCCTGGAAAAAAAGCAAACGACAGTAACTTTGTGTATTATGTAGCAGAAATAATTATTAAGAAGTTGTCTTATTAGCATGACTTTGTTTTTAATAAATTTGTACCATGCATTTTGTTAATCTTCTGATTTTTCTGCCTTTGACTATTACTATTTAAAGTAGATGGAAAAGTTGATTTAAAAGAAATACATCTATTAGCACTTGGTCTTATAGATTCGTTCCTAAAACAGGGGTGACAGCTCGCTTCTGGACCCCTGGACTCTCAAGTCCCACCTCGGGGATTCTGAGTGAAGCGGGTGAAAACCTCATCTGCATGAACCTGCCCAGAGCCCAGGAAGATGGGCGTGCTCTGCTCAGGCAGACAGATAATTACTGCACGCCAACATAGGGCTCCAAATAATGCAGCTAACCAGCTCACTTCCTAATAGCCCTATCGGTGACAATCTAGTGCATTGTCTTATGAAAACCTGCTGCCTGTTCCTAGGCAACCTGATCAACGAAAATTTCAGGTTTATACAATTTTCATTTAGGGAACATAAAGGTTAACTGACTGTAATAGGAGTATTTTAAACAAACCCACCTACTCTCCCTCTCATGGAGCAGGGCTGGCAGCTCCTTTTTAATTCCGCTCTGTCTTTGCTGCTGGTGTCTAGGGTAGCACCAACCTCGTTGGTTCTGTCAACCACCCGCAGTGTTGACTCGGAATGCTCCCTGAAGCCAGAGGCCAGAGCATACACACTCTCTGGGGAGATTCCAGCTCATCCTTGCCTCTTGAATGGCAGGGAGAGGCAGCAGCCACACCAGGGAGCCTGGCCTGTGCTGAAGGTTTCTGGAAAGATCTCTCCCAACCAGGAGGCCCATTCACCCACCCAACCCCAGGCGCTTTTATTATTTTAGACAAAGAGGACACACAAAAAGGAAAAAGAACATAAGTATTCTCTACCTGTATCCTGAATCCTTGTGGGTTAAGGGCTTGTTGAGGATGAAAGCTATGCCCGTTACCCATCTGACTGGCACAGGTCATGCCCAATGCGGGGACTAGCATCTGCCTCTACTTTTCCAGGCCCTCAGTGATGCTCTGTGAAGAGTGTGGGCTCACGTACATGCTCACTGGAGACCCAATCTACTTAACTCAACAGGAAATGCTAGGAAGTGCTAGGTTTTGCGACACACAAAAATAAGGCAAGCCTCTATCTACATCAGAGAGATCCCGCTCTATTGCCAAAGGACAGACTGTTACCAGAAGTACTCACATCAACCTGCCCTCATCCCTTTTGGACCTGTTGAGGTCATCCACACTTGGGCCAATCTACTCTGCTACACTCCCATGGCCCCGTGTGAGCCAACTAACCAAGGAGAACATAGTGTGGCCAACCAGAGTTAGAGCTGGAACCAAAGCAGGTGAAAAACCAGGCTATCTCCCCAGCCATCTGGCCAGATGGGACATTCCAGTTAGGCATGCTTGTGCAAGAAACCACCCAAGAGCTTTAGTAGCTTCAAATAACCATTTATTAGTCTTTCTCATGGTCTGTGAATTGATGGGGTTCAGCTGGACTCTTGCAAACAGTTTCTCATCGTTGAAGTCAGATGGTGGCTGAGGCTGAAGCCGGAGCCATCGAAAGGCTTGTTTATCTAAGCTGGAGGGTCACATGGCAGGTAGTCAAAGCTAGTTTGGCTAGAACTGTGGGTGTCAGTGCCGCCACATCACATGATTTTCTTA